GTTATTGTTATTTTCAACAGCTGGTTTGTAAGGATTAGATTTGTTTATTTACGAGTTCGACCACAGATTGATATCAGTTAGAGAACCATTGAAAACCACCAGCTGGAAGTACTGGGCAGCTGTTTCCTCTGTTCTAGTTTGAGAATCATCGTCAGTATGCATCCATTTGCGAGGATTCGAACCCAGGAGCTTCCGGTTACAAGCCAAGCTAGCTCGCATACCATTCAGCCACTGGGATTCGACTCCTTCATGGCCAGCCAGCCCATGAATTCTAACTTCTACCAATTCGTGGTGAGTTTAACGTGACCACCGACCAATGTCATCGGTGAGACGGGCAGTTGATTACCTTCACACCCGAAGGTCGCTTAGCAAAGATATACTACGAACCGGTATATGATGTTGCAAATCAGTCCTTATGACCAGGTCATACTTAACTCTACGCCTCTCAACTTGAGCCGATTCGGTTTCGAATACTCAATCGCATTTTATTCCGAATCATTCCACTCAAACAAACAGACAGACACTTTCACAATGAAGTCCTACATCAATATGCTTAGACAGCCGAACATCTACACACCGGTTACAAAAAAATGTGATAACAAAATTCCCCCAATAGTCGAAAGTCATTATAAGATTAACGTGGAAATTCTGACAGAAGCATAAAAATGAACATGTACCAGAAAGCTTACGTCTAAAGGAACAAATGTTTTAAACAGTCCCATCGCCAGGCATCTCCTTGACACCTGGTCATGAGGTGGACGTCGAAAAGTCGTTCAAAATAATCAGTAGGCAAAAGAGCTCAATTCTCCTCAAATTTGCTGAAGCGATTTTCATCAAGCGCCTGAAACCTGATTTATGCGTCCAGAAAGAAGCGGTTATCAGTCTATTTTTGCCCTGGTAACTGGATTTTCTTTTCATCTCTCTTTCATCTGAATGCGAAATGCTGAAAAGTTTCCATTGTGTACGATTATTATTGTTCGGAATAGTGTTTGATATTACATATATATGTTTATATTATTACTGTATGCATATATTGATTGGTTGATTTTTGTTTAAAATGAACTCTGTGCAAGTATGTTAAAATTTGTTTTTGTAGATACATTCACTAATGTTTTGCCCTGTAAGCAGCTGACGAGAAGGCAACGAAATAAAAGATGGTACCACTTTATTCTACTAAAACTGTAGTTCTTGCTTTGTTCAAAAATGAATAAAATGTATAAATTTATCTATAAGAATGAAGGGAATTTCAAACCGTGTTGTCTAGCATCTTTGAAAATCGATTACAGTCGACTAACATATCTATCTGGTCAACCTAAAGAATAGCAAAATATGGAGTTTGAACACACCACTGACCTTGAACGCTTAACGTTCATTGGATTACAGAACCTAGCATTATCATAATGCCAATATGAACGCTGTTCACCATTTCAGGTGTTTTTAATTACTGTTTGGATAATGGATTAATAGCGCGTAGTTGCAAAGGCTCTTTTGGAGGTCGTATTTACATTTATCGTTTTTCAAACGCAGCTGATGGGCAAGTATTTAGATGCACAGACTATAATAATAGAATTAGTTGTGGAAATGGTAAGCCACACATATTATTCAATAAATTCTAGGAACTTTCTTTTCGAAATCAAAGTTGTCGCTGACTAATATACTTTTAATCTGCCTTTATTATGGTATGAAAACTGAGGCCATATTGATGGCTGCACAGACCGGAAGTTCATTGATTTCAACTATCCAATGGTACCAGTATTGTAGGGATGTAGCATCGTGGAAGATCAATACCACCAAGCAGTTTTTTGGAGGAGACGAGGGTTAATGTTCATATGGATGAAACCATTTTGAAAAAGAAGTGAAATTGTAGTCGACCCACAACCAATAATATATGGAGGTAATTCCAAATCGTAGTGCGAAGACCTCCCTACCTATTATACAATGGTTAGTAATTCTGTGTTGTATAATTCATATAGACGAATGGGCAAGATAAAATCAATAATTCAGAGTTGGGTTTCATCTGTCATTGTGTCAGTCATTCAAACGACATTGTCGATCTCATCACTGGAACGCGCACTAATTCCTTCGAGGCTGAAGAACAGGATTCGAGAGATAAATAGCTCACAAAAACTGTTATTTTTAGTCATCTCTATGAGTGTATATACATAGAAACTGGTCTAATCTTAAATCTGATCCCCATCGTCACAACTGGGAAGTATTTTTGACTCATCTCAAGAAGAAATATCCTCTTTAATGTATTTTTTTAGTATTTGTACTTTTCTTCTAATTGAAAAGGCTTTTTCATTGGTACGTTCCAAGGTCACACGTATGCCTGTATTCAGTGGTCACTTTGCTTAGTGTTTGCCACATATGCCATCCATACATTTTAAGACTACATAAATACATCCGTACTTAGCACTGTCTTAAATCCAGGTCAAGTATTTCATCATTCTGTATTCTTTGATAGATTAGACACACTATGTCATACGCTTAGAATCAGTGACCAATTTTAAATTTAACAGATAAGCTAATTAAATTCTGTTTTTCTAAAGTTATACTCACGAAATATGTACCAGTATCACTATTTTCGAACTATTTCATTAAGAGTACTGACTGTCGGTTCCTCATTATCTTAAGAGTCTTAGCCAGATGACTTATGCCTCCTTACACAGCCTAAACAGGCAGTTGAAAATGTCATTAAATGAACTAAATCTCAGGCTGAAAATGGTTGGCTGTAGTCTCTGACGGCATCCCAAGGAGCTCAATCACACATTGAACAAAAGCTTTATAGTTATTATTAAGTAAGGTAATGAAAAAGCTCTTGATGGTTCTGCTGAAGCCTCTGCAAACAGATTAAAGAAGCTGGATCTATGCATGTAAAAGGAGATAGTAGTTAGGATGAATCTACCATGGTAGCATAATTTTATTTTACCTTTTTAAGTTTCTTTCCACTCTCTCTTCTTATTACAATGTTTTCTCCATTGTTATTATTATTATTATCTGTACTGTTAGCAAACCGAAAATCATAGTTGAATATTCATCTTAGTGAGAAGTGTTCACATTACCTTGTGAGTTTAGATCAGACACTGTTAAAATCTTGTTATTTAGTGCACTATAGACTACATTTGTTAACTTTATTTATTTGTGTTTTTTAAGAAGTTCCCTTGCATTTTCAATATTATCAAATCTAGGTGTTAGTAACTGTATTAATTCTGCTAAGATAACTCCAATTTATGTGTTAACATGTAGTGTTACGACAGAAGACAATGGCCAGGCAACAGATCGTTTATTGAGGAAATCAAGAGATGTTTATATATTTTTATGTACATTATTATTAGTTATTACTAGCAGAGAAACAAGGTATTCTGATTGATCGTTTTATCTCTATCTATCTATCTGTCATCCCTCTATCTTACCGTTTCTTTGAAGGTCAGACCATATATCTGCGAATCGTATCCGCCCACGCAGAGTCTTTGTCATTGTTTTTCTCATGACCAAGATTTGGGAAGTAAACATTGACGTAAATTGCTGTCTACCAATTTCGGCTAGCAGACAGCTCTCACCACAGTAGTACTTCGATGAATATTATTCGCTTAATAATGAAGTTAACAGATTATCACTCACAAAACTTATAGATCATATATTTGTTCAGATTGGTACTTATTTCGCGATATATATATGTATATTGATGGACTTTTGGGTTGGGTCCCAGTGGCTGAATGGTCTACGAATTCACTTTGTAACCGGAAGACAGCGGTGAGTGCATGCTACTGAAGAGTCCCAAACAAGTAGGACGAAACATCTATCCAGTACCCCTGTGTTTTCCAATAGTTCAATGTCTCTCTTTCTATCTGATGTCGACTGGGGATTAATCCTGTGACCAAGTGAAATCCCTGAAAACCAACACCTGACACTTATTTATTGTCACGATGTTCATGTGTTTGTATGTATTTTACCCTAAGAAAAATTGTATCAATAACAATTTTCTAAAGTTTGGCTTGTAAGGGTTAGTTATGTTTTTACCAGTTGATCACTGATTGATATCAGTTAAAGAACCATTGAAAACCAGTGGCTAAATGGTATACGAGCTTGCCTTGTAACCGGAAGGTCTTGGGTTCGAACCCTGGCAGTGGGTGCGTACTGCCGGTGATTCCCAAACTAGGCTGATGAAACAGCTGTCCAGTACTCCCAGCTGGTGGTTTTCAATGCTTCTCTAACTGATATCCATCCGTGATCAACTCGTATGAAACATAAATAACAATGTTTGTAGAGTCCTTCTACCAAAATTTATGAATCCATTAAATACTGCTGTTATCCCCTTAGGTTGTTGGGGGGGGGGGGAAGTGTGATTCACTCCATGTAGCATACACACCCAACTTCTTCCCTTCTCAGTGAATGCAAGGTATCATGAGTGTTTTCATAAATTCACCTCACAATTCCATCCAAGTAAACTGGTGCGTCAGTGGCGTAGTGGTTAGGACGCTCGCCGACCATGCACATGGTCCCGGGTTCGTTCTACGGCCACAGATGCACTCCTTTACCTCGCTGAACCAGAAATATCGCTGGTAAAGAGGAAAGGTTGGGCATGAAGCTAGCAACCCCGTCCTGTAAAACAAAAAAACACTGCTACAGAAACTTCAAGCCAATAGCTTGAAGTCATATGTTCCACTGGGGAACGTGAAGGAAAAACAAAAAAACTGGTGCAATAAATGTTTATATATTATTAATTAAAGTAAATTATTCAACACAAGAGTGACAATTATAACAATAATAATAATAACGGTAAACTACACGGTGGTCTAAATTAAAGGACAAGGGTGATTAGGTGATCAGTTAATTTTGTAATGAAGGTTGACTTCTTATGTAGTTGTAGTAGTATGATAAATCAATAATAAACTGAACATATCTGTAGGTAAATCAATAGAATTAAGAATATTCATAAAGCTGAATCCATAATTAGTTAAAGTTCACGATGAATGAAGGCCGTAAAAGAAGAAGAAGACGAAAAAGAGATCAAGGATGATAATTCATCAAAATTATCAAGAAGGCGGGAAAGCAGAAGGGCAATTCAGACTGTTAAAAGCTGAGAAATCAATAAAATAAATGAGAATTTTTGGTTTTTCATTGTGACATAAAAATAAAAACTGAGAAACGAAAGAACAACACAATAATAATATAACAACATTTGGGAGCGAATGTGGTGAAACTGACGACAACAACAACAAAAACAGGAGCATAAACTGAAATGCGAAGGAGTCGAAAATAAAATGACAGTAAGATGTGTGTCATTAATGCGTGTAACAGTAGCAAGACTATTGTCGTTTATAGTATTATTATTATTATTATTCAGCTCCAACTTCAGCTGCAGGAGCTGAATGTCCACTGTCAGCTTTACCGACTACTTGGAAGCCTTCCTCTGTCATGATTACCGCTTGTGATGGAGCAATACGCTGGTATTCTTCAGTATAATTAGCACCTGAAAAGACAGTGCGTCGATCATGAAATGATCGTGGATCTTTAACACGTTCATACTGGCTATACATTACGACCATAGGCTGGAAAGAAAGAAAGAAAGAACAAATAGTAGTAAATAGGAATGACAGGAAATACATTTTATGTAAATTGGATGATATTAGACGGTTGGAGGCAATCGACCACAGTAAGCCTTGCCTGACCTTCGATTTCATGCTAGTTGGCATTCGCCAGTCAGTCAGCAAGGCGGATCTGCAAACTTGAAGGAACTCATGTCCCTACTCAGATTCGAATGCTCATCACCCAGTAAGCGCTGTAGTCAAGGTCGCTACCACTGAGCTATTAAGGCTCACGATTGACCTCCTGTAGAACTGTAGTGGATACTTTGATGTCTAGTCCTTTCTTTGGTGCAGACTGAATTCTATCAGTAAGGTTTGTAATGTGGCCACCATGCCACTAGGTGGCTCGCCATCACGGTTCACATTGATTTTATGTAGCACAAATCATATAACAATAGACTATTAGGGTTATAAAAATAAACTCACCGACAGATGAAATAAACTTACAGGAATACCACTGAATTTAGCGGCCAACGGATCTGGTGTATTTGAGATTGCTTTTGCCTTACCACTAGAAAAATAATTTTCAAAAAACAACAAATAAAACATGAAGTTAGAAGTCGTAAATTGGAATTCTGATTCAATAGGACAAACGCTTGCACACACAGAAGCTAATTGCTTCTATCCGCTTAATAATTTACTTCCAGAAGAAGTAAATAAACAGGGTCACCATGACAACAACCGGAGACATTTAAATAAGCACGACTCACCCTTTGTTAATCTGACGTGCCCGTTCTGCCAGTTCTTGCATCTGAAATAGATAAAAAGTATAAGTGCGCTATACGGTGAGCAAAAAATATAATTAGAAACTATAATTCAATCCACGCGTTTGTCAGAATCATCCACACTTTGAAATGTCTGTCCACTACACACTAGTCACCATTTTTAAGGTGAGATTATTGAAGTTATTACCACAGATTTAGAATGACCCGATTCACTAAGTCAAGTATAGGGAGTTTCGTGAAATCATAGAAGTAAGAAACCATAGTTTCTCAGTTTTCGAGGTAGTGTTTGACTGGTAATGGGCTTACCTCAGGAACAAAGGCGTTCAGTTGAATACTTTGTGATGTCTTCAAATGGTACTGCTAAAGAATTCCAAACTTCGATAAAAAGAAACAACCATGAAATGCTCCTTGTGTTTCTCCAAGAGGTAACCATTTCTGACAAATTTCACTTTAGAATAAATCAAAACCTCCGAAACTCTACTTCTGAATGTTGGTGCACTGGTCAACATTTTGATGTCAGTAGAAAAAGTACTATCCTGTATACCTGCAGAAAGGTAATAGTAGCTCTATAAGGAGTGCGATAATCGAACACTGTTTGTCAACACACTGGTTTCTATCTATCTCAATAAACACCCGCTCCTGCTTTAGAGTAATCTACAAAGTGAAGAACAATCTACCGATGGCAATACTCTTTTATCTCCTTTGCATAGCTGAAGTTTTAACCATTCGGTTAGAAAAAGCAGAGCTGCGCATATAAAGGGAAATTATTCAACTACCTCTACTATCATAGTAACACCCTTCTTGATTTCTGTTCGTCTTTTTTTAAAACTCTTGATGACTCTTGTATTTCTTTGGAACTCCCTTTTACATAATTTCATATTTTCCTTCGTTTCTATGTGCATCCTGGTTACACATCATTTACTAAATTATTCGTCTTGTTGCGTAACTCCATTTGTTCCTTTAATTATTAGAGGAATATCGGGCTTAAGCTGCGCGCCTCCATTGCTTTCGGTTCTCTGCCAACATTTCCACCTAGCTCCACTTCTGTCCACTTGCTTTCATCTCCCCTTCACATCACCTCCTCCACTCTATGTCACCCTCGCAATGACGACCAACTAACTCGCTGCTTCCCATTCAGCCAGGTTCCATACGAGCGATAGCCTGGCGTGTGATGTCACTCATTCAATAGTTTGTTTCCTCAGAGTATGGCCAACACACCTCCATTTCTTCCCACTGGGTTGTTTCGCTCGTTGCTGATCTTGTATGACCGGTCATCTGATCTTGAGTAATAATGAGCTAAGACAGCTGTAAATGAAGTTCTGTAGTTTGTTCGAAGAGGCCTTAGTTACGCGGTGCCAAGTGTCTGATCCGTATAGTATCACCGGCTTCACATTGGAGTTGAAAATCCGGATCTTATTTTTCATGCTGAGTGTGCTGTTGATCTCGACACAGATTTGAGAGAAATGAAAGCTTACCTTGGTTTCCCGATCCTCGATGCTTTGACATCCTCGTCAGTTCCATCTGCCTGTAGTTGAAACGATGCTCCCCAGGTAGGTAGGTAGGTAGGTAGGTAAAGGAGGTTGCTTCTTTCACATTTCTCCCATTTATGCTGGTTGTTGTTTCTGCTGCTTCTGGCATGCATTGACTAACATGATAACTATGTTTGTGTCAAGCTATCACTTTTGTTACCATACTCCTTCATGAAAAAGAGGATGTACATAAATGTGATTGTACAGCTGAGTGGTGGAGGGGAAATGAATTTTCTCAACTACGTGTTGTGTTTTCAATAATGTCTGGATATGGACTAGAATTTCGGAAATCCGTTAAATCTGTAGACAGTCAGACTATGCAATTATTCTGTCGAATTAGTAAATTCTAGTTTCTATTCTGAAGTGAAATTCTAAAAAGATTTTGACATTAATTCATGAGTTTTAAAAGAAACTCTTCAGAATACTTCCACCAATACCTTTTGACAAGGTAACATCGAATATATACTCATTGAAATAGTTCTTTTCTGACTCATAATTACCACTGTATTCAACAGTTTCTTAATGTAGCATCACTGGTGAGCTATTTGCTCGTAAATCAAATACGTCAGGTCTACAAGTGAACGTGTCAAGTGTTAGCAGTAGTTCATTAGAGTTCACCGTATATCTGAAGTAATCCAACTAATGTTCAAGCTAACTTATATTTGCTACCTAATAGCTTGTAGCCATACTCCAAAATGTCAAAGTCACAACTCTTAAGAATTAATTATACATCAAAACATGAAAATAGCATTGTTCTTTTAAGAAGTAGTCATATAAAAGTTATAACGAGAATTACATCATAACTTTGTCGTGTGAAACGTTGAGACAAGTCATAAATATCTCCCTCCAATCGACAGATAAGATCGTGTAATTCTTTTGCTTTAGCTTTCAACTGGTCAGCAGTGAAACCAGTGATATTCAATGGTTGAATACGTTGTTCTAAAATAGCCTTCTTCTCAGCTTCTAACTGTTCTTTTGATTTGGTGACCTCCTCTTTCTTCTCTTCTTGTGTTACTTGTGCCTATTCGATCGATAAATTGGAAAAAAACAATATTTGATTGAAGAATAAACTGAAATATTCAAAAGTGACAGTTCCATTAGGAGAAGAGGAAGAATATTACATGTATACCTTTGATTCTCTGAATATATACCAAAAAGCCTACGTGTCAAGGGCTGTGAAATTGCATCGATTGAGATGGTTAGGAAATGTGTTACGCATGCCTAGCCTAGACATCGCCTTACTCGACACGCAGTGTTAGCTGACATAGGGTCAGCTTGAAAAAGGGCCAGCTAGTGGCGGTCAAACCAAGACATGGCTTCATCAGTCAATGAAATCAGTAACAATTAGTTTAAGCCACGTAGGAAGATGTAGACTCCCTGACTAGTTGGAGTCCTCGGGACGGTAAACACCAATGAAGGCTGGAGACAACTGGTGCTACAGCTGGAAATCGTTCTCAATGACTGGCGCAGATGCATCCACTCCTTGTGACTTATAATACCCAATAAAACTATATTGTTCTTCGATGTCATTATTCTTTTTGCCGCATATCTCTCTTTACTGTCTCTATTTCGCGTTTCTTTTTACTTTCTTTTCTTGCTTTGTGTGCTACATGGAGTGTAACGACTCGAACTGCTGCACATCGGCACAAAGTTCTATGTAGGAACCAGTCAGTCATATCTCAAGGGGAAAAAGCCTACATTAGTGCCATTGCCAGATATCTCGTCAATAGAGGTCATGAGGTGGACATTGTGAAAACCATCGCAAATTATCAGTCGATAAAATGGTTCGATTCTCCTTAAGTTCGTAGAAGCAATCGCCATCAAATGCCTGAAACCCGATTAATGTGTTCAAAGGAGAAACAGTGATCAGTCTTTCCTTTCCTTGATAACCGAAAGTCTTTACTGTCTCTCTCTCTTTTTCATTCATTTGATTACGTAATCTCTGGCTTTAACCTCTCCCCTCTTTGGTATAGTGTAACTTTGTTTGTTTCTTGTTTCCGTGATTTCATGCGAACTAATCACCATGTCTTTTTCGCGTAACTCCTTTGCCATTGTATGCAAACATTTATTTTTGTTTAAACCTGAACTCCCTGGGTATAAACTATATAAACGTAATTTTCTAAGCACTGCTTATTAAGTCTGTAGCCTCCTGTCATTAATTGAAATCTTGTGACATTTGAAAGTATGTTAAAATTGTTCTGTGCATAAACCACTTAATAATTTCTTTAGGCTATCTGTACGCATCTGATGAGAAGCCAACGAAATAAATGATGGTACCACTTTAGTAATGCACAAACTGTTGTTTTTGCTTCATTCAAATTCACAGAGGGGAGTAAGTGTATGAAGAAAATAACATTTATGAATACCCGAAGCAACTTTCTTTATAATAACTTATCTGGCATTCCATTAACTTGTGTCACTCGGTTCACCTCATTTTCAGACAGTTATATTCTGTTAAATAAGTATATGTGGATAATATGATTTACCTCACAGTATGAAAATAATGCTGTAAAACTCATTGGGGAACAGTTTGTTATATCAGCATCAAATATAAATTGACCAGTGAGTGATACCTATTGCTTATTGATTTCAGCCATCCAAAGTCCCAATGGATCTGATTTAATTTAAGTCACAAAACGGTCCACTATATTGTGTTTTACTTACAATGTTATAATTCATTTAAGTGGAAATTCCGGATGCAGATTTCTAATATTTTAACATTTCTTAACCAGTTGTGTCTGTAAAGTGATGGAATATTTTCCTGGACGTTTAAACACAAATAACTCAATGTTCTGACCACGGATTTCACTTTCAGACCGTTTGTGTCATTTGCACTATTCAACAAATATTAAGTTTAAGTTTATTGTCACTAGGTGTTTGTTTATAAGGAAAGTGTATTTAAAACCTGTAGATAATATATATTTTATCTTGCTTAAGAGCATTCCATATCAAAATTATCATCACAGATATGGGTTGTCATAACTAGAAAACATCCTTTATGGGTAATATGGTAATCGATATCCAGTCTGGAAATAAACCAATCAGAATTGCCCTACCTAAATGATCGATGTTCAGTCTGGAGATAAACCAATCAGAATTGGCCAACGTGAAAACAACGCCCACTAACTACTTTATTGATCATGAACACAGACCAATTGACATAACCTTGAAATATACATGATTGTGTGTTTAAAACATACTGTGGCTGTGATACTGAAATATACCTTTCGGCTCACATCGTTGTGTATTCTCGCCTAACTAGAGCAGGATGAGGGAAACGGGTAGATGTCGTATAATTTGCTGTTGACGTAGTCAAACAGTATTCGCGATCAGCGTAAATGTGTCCAACTAGGCGTCTCTATTTCAACCTCAATGTTATTACGAAATATACAAAAGTGCCAAGATCATGCTGTGTCTAAAGTCAAGGGAACCGCTTGTGCACAGTTAACAATTTGAAATACACAAACATGTTCAGAGGCAAACAGAGTCAGTGTTTCTCATCACTTGTGAAAACGCTGAACTTCTTGAACGAGATTACCAGCTATCAAGTCATTTTTTAACTCTAAAATGTAAGGCTGTTGAATATACTTACTTCATACCCTAACCACTTCATCGTACCCGAAGTTACCACTACACACACACACACACACTTAGTCATATTCGAGACTAATACAAAAAAAGAAAGAAAACTTACATCTGGCTCTTTCTTTGTTATAACAAAGTTTGGTCGATTAGCATTTTTACGTTCTTCCCATTCTTTCTTCTTACGTTCACGTTCCTCTCGTTTACGTTGTTCCTCTTCACGTTTTTTCCTCTGTCTTTCTTCCTGTTAAAATAGAAACAGGTGTAATTCATATTGATGAAACGAAGACTTTTACTTTTTTTAATAAATAAATAAATATATATATATATTAGAACAAAATAGAGTGAACATTTGAGGTTTCAATGAATTCTTCTTCAGGCTCTACAATTATAAATCCATTAATTTAAGCATGCAACAGCCAGTAAAGGCAAATTAGAATCACATCAGAAAGTGTATTGTGGAGCAGGACCAGATATCACACAAAATCGAAGACTTACAAGCGAAAACTGACAAACTGGTTGAAGAAGCAGCAAAGACAGGACTCCAGGTGAACATAGACAAGACAGAGGTCATGAAAATAAACAACCAACAACAACAACGGCATCAGCAACATCCAGCGCCAATCACCATCAACGGGAGGGATTTGAAAGAGGTTACTTCTCTCACTTATCTAGGGAGCATTGTCTCAACTACAGGAGGAACGGACGACGAGGATGTCAAATTGAGAATCGGAAAGGCGAGAAACACATTCATCAAACTGAAACCAATCTGGAAATCTTCGTCACTCAGCCTGCATCAACAACAACAAAATTCGGATTTTCAATACAAACGTCAAGTCAGTCAGTTCTTCTATACGGATCAGAAACTTGGCCGGTGGGTCACCAAGAATATTTCCAACAGCCTGTTGCAGAGCTTTATCAACAGCTGTCTTCATTCTATGGTGAAGATCAGATGGCCGGAAAGAATCACCAACAAGAAACTATGGGAACAAACAAAACAAGAACCAATCGCCCAACAAATATGCAGGAGAAAGTGGAGATGGATTGGACACTCGCTGAGGAGGCCGCTGGGTGACATCGGTCGTCAGGCCATCGCTCGAGTGGAACCGGAAAGTGAAGCGGCGAGTGGGACGTCAGTGCAAGGGTGACATGGAGGAGATCGTGTGAAGAGGAGTTGAAACAGTATGCGTACTGCTGATGACTCCCAAAACTAGGATGAAACAGCTGTCCAGTACTCCCAGCTGGTGGTTTTCAATAGTTCTCTAACTGATATCAATCCGTGATCAACTCGTAAATAAACAAATATAATCCTTACAAACCAACTATTGAAAAAATATATATGTATTACACACTAAACCAACCTAATATAAAACTGTATTTGAAACAGAAAAACACAACGAGAAAGTGAAACATGCACGAGCGCACACACAGAAGGAGTGGATAACTAGATTTCACCAAACTTGACCGGAAAAATTATTGATTTCTTTTTCAACCACCAATTGTGTAACCTACTTTACGGATATTCTTCTTTCCTACACATACAGAAATGTTGTAACAGTAAAGATGGGTGCATTCAGGTGTGTTTTGTAGCTTGTGTGTGTGTGTGTGTGTGCAAGTGCATCATCACTCTCTCCGTGTGTGCGTGTGTGTGTGTACAGAATGCCTTTACTATGTTTAGGTCATTTATCTATACCCGTAATTTCTGTTTTCCGTCAAAAGTGATATTTTTTTGCCCTCTGATTTTAAAGGTGTAAATTGAAATATATTCACCATCTATTTCTATGGTATGCATGTATTATATTTATATTATATTTATACATATGTATGTATGCTTTATTTATTTTTTTTTGTATCCTGTAAAGTCAATATCTATTGCCTGCTATTCCACACATATTACTGCTTGAACAGTACGAAAAATTGTGAATTCTATTCAGCAATCTGAAATAGTATTCAAATTAGATATTTCCTCTTACCAGAATCATATTGGTATGATACTATATTTAATTAACTTAAGTATGTCAAAAAATAATGATAATATTTTTAAGAATAGATTGTGTTGTAAAAAAATATTTATTTTTAATTTTATTCTTTTCTGTCCTTAAGTGGAGCCTAAGGTTTCAAGCTTCACCTCTGAATTTTCAGTAGTAATGATGTTCCCTCTCTTTACCGGGCCAACGTACCACTTAAGCAAAGCTGAAAGTCAAACCCCCTGGAGCATGTGAGGTGTGCTTGGTGAGTCATTTTACCAATGAAGCAGCAATTCACTATTGTTGAAGAATAAGAAGTCTCAATTACTCAATTTTTCTGTAAGAAAGACTGGTTGGAAGATTTCATCTTGAGCTGACAACAGTTAGAGAACCTTTGTCCGGTGAGATACAAACGAACGCTGGTGAAAACGTTTTTCTCTACAACGAAGAGAATATGTTCACCAAACAAACTAGACAGTGAACTAATGCTTCTCGAGAAATGCTTGAAAGAAAATGGTTACCCACAAAGTTTCATTAGCAAATATGGCAAGAATGAACTCAAGAAGCTTGATACTGCTACAGTCAGTAAGAAGTCTATTTTCATCAAACTCGACTATAAGGGCAAAGACATTATGAGAATGATAAATAAAAGATTAAGCGCAGCCCTGTCTAGGACGTATCCTGCAGCGTTATTAGTCTCTCTATCCCGAACAACCTCTTCACTGGTGCAGTCAAAGATTGACAAGTACCCCTCACATGTTACCTCCAACTGTGTATACCAATTCACATGTATCTGTGGGAGCAGTTACATTGGAAGAACAGAGAGGAGGGCCTACATCAGATTCTGCGAACATGTACCAAGAAGCCTCCGGTTAAAAAGGGCCAAATTGTTTAAGCTCTTCAATCGCCAAACACCTGATTGACACAGGACAGCACCGAGTAGATGTGCTGGAATCATTCAAAATAATTAACAGACAAAGTACCTCAAGTCTTCTTAGGTTTACTGAAGCTATAGCAATAAAACGATTGAAGCCCGACTTATATGTCCAAAAAGAATCCGTTGTTGGACTTCAATTACCCTGGTGACTCACTTCTTAGTAACTCTTTGTTTTCTAATTTTGTTAATTTTGTTAACTTATCTTATCACTCCACTCCCCCTTTATGTTTCACTTCACTCTCTTAAGAGATAATTTTTCTTGATCTTCTGAGTTCTGCTCACTGTATTACATCATCAACTTTTCATCTGACCTCATGTGCACAGTAATTTTGATCTTCTCTTATCTAATTACGTAGCTACTGCTAATTGTCTTTTGTTACCACCTTAACAACACAACTGTTAGTTAATTTTTTCAAGAAAAAGATATATATGTATGTCGTAGCACTTTAGACACCCTATAAATCTCAATGCCTTATTTTACTATGACGCTCTGACACTATGCTTGCTAATGGACAAAAGTTTGTTAAAATTGTACACTTTTTATTTTTATTTTATTAAAGAATTCAGGTTGTACGCAGCTGATGAGAACCAACGAAATAAAATGGATCCAGATTATTCTGCGCCAATGTTTCTTCTTTCTTTGTTCAAAGTTAGAGAACCATTGGAAAACCACCATGGTTGTACTGGACAGCTGTTTCCTCTGTCTTAGTTTGGAACTCTTCAGCACTACGCACCCACTGGTGTTCAAACCCAGTGGCTTAATGGTCTACGAGCTCGCTGGCCTTGTAACCAGAAGGTCCTGGGTTCGTAACCCAGCGGGTGCGTACCACTGAAAACAGTCCCAAACTAGGACGGAAGAAACAACTGTCCAATACTCTCTGCAGGTTTTCCAATGGTTCTTTTACTGATGTCAGCTTATACCAATGAAACAAAATCCCTACAAAACCAATACCTGAAAATTTTCTGAAAAGACCTTAGAATCCTATTCATGACCGTTTGAACATGCATAACATAAAAGTGTAGGTAAATCCGTTACCCATGTTACTCTTCGATTTCTGGGTGGAATCGCATAGATCCATTCATTTCAGCTTTATTTATTCCAAAGAGAAATTTCCTTGATCTTACAGATTTAAGATTCGCATTCAAAATCTCAAGAGATCTATCTTGGAATTGATTGAGGCGTAAAAAGAACTTTGATCTGCCAGCAGCTGATTCGCGTCTTTCTGTTACTTAGATTATTTTGACTTTAATGACTATTGCCTTACAAACTACCAGTAGTATCATTCCCTTAGGATCTCAATGGGGCATATGGCTTTGAGAGCACATCTCCATTTCATCCTGTTCTGTGCTGTTATCTTTCGGCAACTCCATGATTGCCCATAGGCTCTCATCTATTCCTCACCAATTGATCGTCTCCATGTTGCCCTCAGATTCAAATCCAAATCATCTTTTCCCTTTTGAGTTCCACTCGAGGGTTTGACACATCGCTCGCCCTTCAGTTGGCACTGAATCCACACTAAATCAACCTAGGTTCAGTTCAAATTCCTTTTTACCATTCACCTCAAATGACATCAGTGAAACTCATCATCCTAACCAGTATCAATTCTTATCAGTAAACATTAAAATTATTTGACTTTAAAGCCAAAAAAATAAAGTGTGCTATAGTTGAGTATGAACGACTTGACCACCTATTCTCCTTGACTGATTATACCTACCGGGTTTGAACCCAAGACCTTCTAGTTACAAGGTGAGCTTGCTCATAGACCATTCACGCCCGTGAATTCTAACTCCTGCCAATTGATGACATAGCGTGACCACTTCGTAATGTCTTCTTCGATGAATTACTGTCTCACCTTCAACCTGCTCTACCCTACTGGTCACGGCTTCCCAAAAGAACCCCAGGTTAACTGCCTGAATAGGGCTAGTCTCTAGTGAGCATCAAATTAATTTTCAAATATTGGTTTTCTAGGGATTTTGTCTGATTGGTTGTAGGATTTCATCATGAACTGACATCAGTCAGAGAACCATTGGAAAAGCAGCCACAGGGAGTACTGGGCAGCTGTTTCCTCCTTCGTAATCTCTCTGAACTCTTCAGCAGTACGCACCCCCACCAGGGCTCGAAACCAAGACCTTCTGGTTGCAAGGCCAGCGGGGTCGTAGACCACTAAGCCACTCACTGGGACCAAATGATGAAATCCTTCAACCATCCAAACAAAAAATCCTTACAAAACCATTACTGGAAAATAAAAGGTAATTTGAAATATTAGTATAACAAGTGATAGACAAATAATTTGATAAAGATCTTTATAAATTCTAACTGAATTCTTTCTGGCTGCTGCAAAATTCGCAGGTATACTACTACTCCAGGTAATAAAATCTTATTTTGGTTGACTTACTTCTTCTGCTCGTCTTTTCTGATCTTCAATTTGACGTAATTCAGCTAATCTCTTTTCTTCTTCTTCACGTTCCATTTTTCGTCGTTCCTAAAATTCCCAAGGGAATAACAATGGATGCATTATATACAGTTATACAGTAATCAAAATTCATTAGAGATGCTAAGCAGTTTAAGGGACGATATATGTGTACAACCTGGACACTGTGGTAGTATGTAATTCCTTATTAGTTTGTTTATTAGATATATCACACAGTGGAGAGACGAAGTTTCGAACAGAACATAGTATTGTTCACAATCACATCAGCAGCTGTAACTTAACAACTTCGAAACGTTTGTTTTATAGTTTTCTTTGTTGTCTCCTATTTGTCGTCGTCGGGGTAGTAGAATTTTCCAGATATCCGGAACTGATGTAGAATCATTCGTATTACACGTATTTGCTTCCGTTATCGATCTCTCCCTCCACCCCGTGACATTAGATTTTAAAACTGTCATCTTATCCCATCGTATTGTATGGTTGTGTGTAATTGCACATAGTGAGAGGTATTGCTGAACTATTCTCTAGATTTCTTATCTTATTCAGGTCAACTAATCCAGATTTTGCTAGATTTTTATGCTTGGCTAGCCTGACTGCCCCTGTTCTACTACTTTGACCTATGTATTTGACCTGACAATCATTGCAGGCAGGGTATTAGATAAACTAAAGCTCCACAGGATCTTTCAACCGACAAAGCTTGTTTCTAATTGAGTTTGTGGAATTGAATGCTACTTTTATTTCTGCATTTTTAGGAATTCTACGTAAGGTTTCCCAGGTCTCTCCTTCGTATGGAACTACTACTGATGATTTAAATTATTGTACCTGTTTACCATGCATGTTTTCATTATTAATATTAATATTATTATTATTACTATTATCACTGTTACTACCATTACTATTATTATTATTTATTTCATTTCTACACTTTCCAACATACTTCCTGATTAATTTATCAGGGTGATTATTGAGTTTCAAAGAGAATAATCCCACTAGGAGAGCATATTTCAACGAAATATTCTGAAAATTCAAAGACTATTTTCATACACACTGGTCATTAGAGAGTAATTAACGTCTTTTTACCTGATCCTCAGTGTTGATGGAACTCTATTGGTCATGTTAGCAGTATGATCATTCAGATGGCACATTGTTAATATCTCTGAGTGTGGTCATGGAAGAAGAAGCCTTAAATCCCCACCGAGGTTTCAGGTAAGTCTTGATAACAAGATGTAGGACTTGTTGTCAGTTACTTCTAGTCACCAGGCCTCAGGAATGCACTGAAAACACTGCCCCTATTTAGTGTATCCGTCATAGTTCTTACCTGCAACAGCCTATAATGAAGATTTGAATTCCTGATGGACGGCGGAAATAAATAGCTGTAATCACTGACCCATGAATGACACCTACTCTTTATCACAGTAATAATGAGGTTTCTAGAAAATAAATTTAGGCAGTAGAACACACTGATTTTTAAGAAGATTATTTAACTGATATCAAGAATGATAATAGTTGAGAGTCTATTATTTGGTTGGAGGCAATTGGCCACAGGAAGCCTTGCCTGACTGACCTGGGTTTCGTCCAAGTTGGCACTCATCAGTCAGCCAGCAAGGCGTTTCTGCAAACTTGGAGGAACTCATGTCTCTACTGAGGGGATTCGAACCCGCGTCACCCAGTGAGTCACCCACTGAGCTATTCAGGCTCGCGATTGACCTCCTGTAGGACTGTAGTGGATACTTTGATTGGACACTAGTCAGTAACTAATGTGATTTGTCTAGTCTGCACCAGAGAAAGTACTAGACACATCACACTAGTTACTGACTAGTGTCCAATCAAGTATCCAATACAGTCCTACAGGAGGTCAATCGCGAGCTCGAATAGCTCAGTGGTAACGTTTCTGACTGCAGCGCTCACTGGGTGACGCGGGATATGAGTTCCTTCAAGGTTGCAGATATGCCTTGCTGATGAGTCCCAACTAGCACGAAACCTAGGTCCAAGGCTTCCTGTAGTCATCATCATCAAATAAATGTACACCGTAATGGTGAGCTACCTAGAATGGGGGCCACATTACAAACCTGACTGATAGAATTCATTCTGCACCAAAGAAAGGACTAGACACACACATTACCCTAGTTACTGACTAGTGTCCAATCAAAGTTGAGAGCCTAACTTAATTATTATTTCATCTTTCCAACTATATTCATTTCTCAAAGAACAAATATATCATCATCAGGTGGATGCCACGATTAACTTACAGTTTAGATATTTGGTAATTTAGGCTTTGGAATCATCATAACTTTATTCCTAAAACCAGTAGCTTATTACACTATCAATAATTCCAACCCCTGTGCATTATTTTGATCTCTCACAGTGTTAATTCAACACCGGTTTTTATAAAGGCACATACAACTGAGGGAATGAGATGGGTAGTTGTCTACGACTCCAATAAATCACTAGTGCTTACCAACCGTCCATCCAGACTGAGATGATCTAATCACTGGAGTACTGTTTCACTCGTTTTGGGCCAAACTCATTGGCGGTGTACTCGATTTGAACCATCTGAGAGAGCTAAATTACTATTGGTTGATACGAGTGGTGTGTAACTACTCACTACAGTCAGCTAGTAGTATGTATTTTTATACGAAAATATTTGGTTTATTGATTACCATTTATGGTGTCAAGCTGATCACATAATAACCCGATCTGAATAATTTCTTCTTCAAAGTGAACTGAAGTGAGCCCCCCCGCCTCCTCAATTTATGTGCATTGGAAATTTCTAACTAATTTGCAAATTGGTAACGTTGGTTGAAGGTGGAAACAGGAAAAAATTTATTTTGTACGTGATAGAAATCCCAAAGGGTAAAACTGGCAACATTGTCATGCATTGATTTCTTCACCTGACAAGTTAACTTACTCTACGTTCTCTTAACTGACGTATCTCCTCTTCTTCTTTTTCTCTTTCACCTCTACGAAACTCTTCATACTCTCTCCATTCTTCTTCGGCTCTTTCTTTTCTACGCTTTGCTTCCATCTAGATGAAGAGGAATTGTCAGCGTTTTTCACCACATGTAGCGGATGACTTACCTCCATACGAATTTTTGCCTCAGACTTGCCATCCTCACTAAGGAATGAAAGACAAAAGGAAATAAGAAACATGTATAAAACTTAAAGTGATAGAGTTTGACGCAGTTATTAAGTATAGCTTGAGCTTCCAGTCTAATCTTTATGGACCAGCTTATTATTTTAAGTATCTCAGAAGTGAATTTTTGTGTAATTTTAAATCATCCTGGTTACTGACGGTTCTAATAATATCACGATATGAAATCACCAGTGAGTGGAACAGGTGAAGGCTATCGAAGACACTACAGAGAAATGCTTAGAATAAACAAGTACCAAAATTTACCAAGGAAGGTTTAATGTGATGACGAATTGTTGCTTTGAACGCATAAAGGTGGTTTAAACATTCTAATCGCCAGATAGGGCTTCGACAAACTTCAGGATGCGCCCCAAACATGTTTTATGGATAGGTTTAAAAGACGTGTAAACATCAATTTTATGTCCTGTCTCTATAACATGTTTCTCAATAGAGGAGCTAGATCTTCTGTTCTCACCATTAATGGGTTCTGAAGATTCCATCTGTTTCTGGAGTCATTTAGGAATATGCTCTGAAGTCAGCGCTTACTTGCTGGCAGAGATCGATGAGTCCTCCCTATGTATGTGTGTCCACACGTACATTCAAACTGGTAAATACAGTGGGATGTGACATCATTTTTTGCATGTTCAAAAGGCTTAGATGGATGGATATATTGGCTTCACATTCTCAATTATTATGATATTAGCTGCATAAAAAGTCTTTTTAACAGCAGCGTTCAATCTTTGTCTAGTTATCAAGCTGCTTTGATGCCCCATATAGGGTAGCTTGATGTACACGTCTTTCTTAGGGGCGAGTTGGAGAGTGGGTCTTGGCTTTCTGGTTACTTTATATCTCCTGATGAACTTGTCTGGATAACTGTTATCAACCAGAGTTTGTGTCAACTTTCTTTCTTCTTCATCAAGTGTGTCTTCAGTGCATATTCGTCAGATTCTACTGAAGAGTCACCTTATTAAGGCTCTTTTGTACCCGAAAAGTGCAGAAACTGTGATAGTTAAGATACTGTGCTTTCCAGGTAGGTTTTCTATGAATAGTTCGTTTTATTGATCCTCCGAGCCGTCTGTCGACTAAGCAATTCATCTAGTAAAGATAAACAAGTATCTTCTTCTACAGACGTAAATAATATGCTATTCTGAACTTCATTCATTCGATTTAAAATTAAAGTGGCAGAACAAGGAGCTTATCACTTATGATTACAATATCGTCAATATCGTCAAAAAGAGCCCCTAACGAACTTCCCTATAGCAACACCATCAGCCTGACGGAAACAGTCGTCTTCAAATGTTAACCTATATATATATATATATAAGTTGAGTATCTTATATCACAACCCAGTATTCCGTTTCCTTAATTGCTAATTAAGATTTACAGCGTACAATGAATTGTGATCACTTCTAGACATGAGAAAGAGTACCTTTATTCATCAGTTCAATTGTTCATGATGCGCTTTAACTAGACCAGGTGTCCCAGGAAACAGGGGACTTGTTTAATCTCAAAATATTTTTTTAAAAAACACCACTCATTCTATGCGTTTGTTAGTTCACAGGTTAATAAATAATTTGCTTTCTATAGAGTATAATTGGTGTCATCACCTCATGCAACATGCTCCCACCTTATATGTTTATATACAGCTACAATATGGGGAATTCTTAAAATAGAAGAGGAAATTTAGCACACCCAAGGTTAGCAGCACTGGGTGAGCGAATAGCGAGAAAACATTTGAAAAAATAAACCTTCACATTTCAACAAGATGATTCTTCACAGGAATAAGAATGAATTCCCAAAATCAGTTATCAAATATATTTTTGGTACTATTTTTACATGAAATTGCCTGCTATATGAGAAGCACAGTCAGCTTGTTGAACAGACAAGACGTAGATTATTTTAATGAGAAAAAAATGGACCGTTTACACATCAAATTTAAACAAATTTAGAGGCAGATATGTATTGATTGCTTCTGATAGTGGCGAAATTTTAAACGCGTTCCTATTGTTACTTCAGAATTCAACTTAATATGACATGCATAATAATAATAATCACAGGAAATCCTCCACAAACACGGAATCATGTATATATTATTATTATTAAACTACTGAAGATAAGAATAAATTTTGTCTAACAAATTTTTGAATTCCTAAATTCAGTATACTTCGAAAAATTATCGTGTAATCAGAAGCTGTAAACCGCCGCATGACTAACTAACCATTACCAATAGTCAGAAAAAGATTCAACACACATCCGTAAGCCCTTCGCTCATTGATATGAATTGTCTTTACTAGTAAGTCAGTATTCTTCTTTTGAAAAAAACCAACCTCATTGACAAAGATGCCTTCAGTATCTTTGCTGTCACAGGTAACAAGTCTTACATAACCCTACAACTCTCCACTCTTCTGTTTTCACTTGTGTGCGTGATAATGCAATGAAATCTGTTTTAACATCGGGGTTATGAAGTTGGAAGTCTGTTGACTGCGATACGAGGACTGATGGTTGATTACTTTTCAATTTCATTTCAAAGCATAAAAATAGGTCTGTGAAATGATTTACTTTCTGAACCACTAATCTGGGAAGCATCGTTTCAACTACAGGCCGACGGAAATGACGAGGATATCAAAGCAAGAATCGGAAAAGCAAGACAAGCTTTCATTACTCTCACCAAGCCTGTGTGGAGGTCAACAGCACTCAGCACCAAAAATAAGATCCGGATTCCCAACTTCAAATATGAAATCAGTGCTACTTACTGTACGGATCAGAGACTTGCACTGCGCGTCATAAAGAGCACATCAAACAAACTACAGACCTTCATTAACAGTTGTCTTCGCTCAATACTCAAGATCAGATGGCCAGTCAGTAAAGATCAGCAACAGAGATCTCTGGCAATGAGCGAACCAACACAGCAGGAACCGATTGCGAAACAAATATTCAGGAAGAAATGGAGGTGGATTGGCCATACTCTAAGGAAACCATCGAGTGACATCACTAGACAAACCATTGCTCGAGTGGAACCCGAAAGGGAGAGGGTGACATGGAGTGGAGGAGGTGATGTGAAGAGGAGATGAAAGCGTGTGGACAGACTTGGAGCTAGGTGAAAACTTTAGCAGAGAGCCGAACGCAATGGTGACATACGGTTGAAGCCCTATGTTCCTCTAGGAATTAAAGGAAACAATAATAATAATAATCCATTCATAAATTGTTGTTCATGTGTGAAGAACCACTGCAAATTAGAATCATACATATTTAAATAGAGATGGCTAGAAATATCTGTCATTCTTGGCTTTAGAAATGTTTAACCTTGTTCAATTTTTTTTAACTATGAGTATTATACTTTTGTAGTGAGAGTCGGCTGTGAACAAGCCTGAATTGTAGACAGTAATTTACGTCAATATCCACGCCTCGAATCAAGGTCGTGAGAAAAAATAACAAGGCTTAACCTTGAGAAAATAACCAACCAATCACAGTGGATTTAACGTGCGCAAATACGATTCGCAAATATATGGCTTAACTGTCTGAGAAACGGTCACAAAGAGATAACAGAATAACCTTCAGTAAGAAGACAACCAATCAGAAGACGTTGCTTCTCCGCTAACAATAACGAATAATAATGCACATAAAAATCTATAAATATCTCTTGATTTTCTTAATAAACTATCTGTTGCCTGGCCCTTGTCTTCTGTCGTTACACTTTGACATTTATACTTAAGATATACCTGTTATCATAAATATCATGCGATATTATTTTAAGAAATGGACATGCAGAGAAAATAGGTGCCATTTAACAATAGATATGGTATCTAGTTGTCAATGGTTACGCCATTGTTTGAATACGCGTATAATAAGTAATGAGGTAATCAAAAAAGTCCAAAACAATCTATGGGAGTCACTTTGACGTGCAGTAGGTCAGATTTCTGTTGGATTTATATAGATATGTATCTGGGAGGTATGTCATATATATATGGACATAAAAGTGGAGATATATACACACACAAATATTTCTCTTATAAACTGTACTTAATATAAAATAGAACATTCGAGATGCATTTTAAATATTCTATGTATAATAGTATTTATTATTATTATTAACTTACTATTCTTCTTCTCTACATGCCGATAATATAATGAATTTATTTAAAATAGGCGGTCGAATTAAAAGTGGAATGATGCATTGAAACAAACAGACAAACTAAAACAAATTATTGACATTTATACGGTGACAGGGGATTTTTTGTTTTTTAGGGTACAATGGATGAAATAATAACTAAGATGATGAAGGGAGGTAAATAATAACAAAATTAATACATATATATTGAAAATAATTTGAGAATGAATGGTTGGAGGATTTCATCATGAGCTGACGCAAGTTAGAGAACCATCGAGAGTACTCGACAGCTCTTTCCCCCGTCTTAGTCTCTCTGAACGCCCCAGCAGTACGCCAAGGTTAGAACCCGGGATCATCTGGTTACAAGGAGAGCTTGCTCGTAAACCATTATCCACTGGGACCGAACCAAGAACAAAACAGCTGTCCAGTACTCCCTGTATCTGGTTTTCCAATGTTTCTCTAACTGATGTCAGCTCATGATGAGTTCCTCCAACCAATCAAACAAAATCTTTGAAAAACCAATACTTGAAAATTTGGCAATGGTGATGTGGAATGAAGTTTTAAAAGTCATATATATATATATAACAGGCCACTGCAGACTTCTATCAACAGCTTCAACCCTCGCTGACTCCATATGAAAATTAGATGGCCGATCAGAACGAATTAGCAGCAAGAAACTTTGGGAACGAACCAACAGACGAGAACCTATTGCTCAACAGATATTTTGAAGAAATGGAGACGGATAGGAAACACGCCACCGAGGAGACAGTTGAATAACATCTCACGCCAAGCCACTGCTCTAGTGGAACCCGACTGGTAGTCGACGAGTTGGGTGTAGGTGTGAAGGTGACATAGAGGAGATAATGTGGCGAGGAGGAGATAAGAGACTATGGGGAATAGAACAAAGTAGATATGTGCTGTTGAAGCCCTATGTTCCATTAGGAACCCAAGGGAATAATAATAATGATATGCGCGAATCTTTAGATGGTTTCCTCAGTATATATTCACAGATTTTTAAATTCACTTCCTATCGCAAATGATCAATAAAACGTTTCTATTTCATTATTGAAAGTTGTTCTGTTTTGAAGAATCTCTTTCATTTAATTAGGATAAATGGTGAATCATTCAACTTCTGCATAAATTCCATCAAAACATCATCTCCAAATTTATGTCTTGAAAAAATATCATTAAAATTACCCAATCACTAGGTTTTTGATGCTTCTTCGTTGATCACGAAGAGCAGATCTAATCAGACGACATCACCTCTCAGGTAGAATAGATTTCTTTCTCGCAATCGGTTTGACTGTTCAGTATGCGTACTACCGCTTTCACCGTTATGGTGACAACTATAAATCTGAGCAGTTTAATTCCTCCTATCACTCGACTAACCTCATTACAAGCACGTATTCATCTAATCTTGGCATCGGAAATATCAACCACAGCATTCACCTTCATTACCTGGATGACTAGAGTATCAAACTCTGCCAAGTGATTCATATTCAACCGGCAAGTGTAACTGCCACGAAGAGAAACAGGAAGACGACGCATAGACTTGACAGTTCAAGATTATTGTTCACTCATATTAGACTAGTGAGTTGACTTCCACTCCTGGCGACTAAGATTAGCCTCATATTGATAGGTCACCAGTGATCTAGTGGTATAACACTGGCTAACCACCAAGCAAGTGGTCTGGAGTTCGATCCCCAGTTGACGCACTCCTTTACTTCGCCTAGCTGGTAGCTATCCCAGTAAAGAGGAAAGGTTGGGCCTAAGGCTAGCCACCTCATCTCGTAAAAATCGAACACCAGTGCTACAGAAACTTCAAAACTCTAGCTTGAAGCCCTATGTTCCAGTGGAAATGCAAAAGAATTCAATAAAATAATAAGTCGTATCGATTAGTTATTATAAATAACTGTCAGAATCAACTACAAAAGTCATTTGTTCATTTCAAACAGCTGGTGTAAGCTGTTATTTGTTAATCATCCCACTGACAACCGCTATGGATGATTAAATGTAATAATATTAGCAAGATACGATCCATACCTCAGTGCTATTTAACGCGGATGGATTAGTGTCTTCTCAATCATTGCTGTTCGCGACACTAAGTTAGTTCATCAAGATTAATCTGAGTGAAATGGCATAAAGATGTAACGCATCACATAATGGAGTACCATTATAGCCGAGAAGAAGCAGCAAAGACAGGACTCCAGGTGAACATAGACAAAACGGAGGTTATGAAAATAACCAACCAACGCCAATCACAACCAATGGGAGGGATTTGAAAATGGTTACTTCATTCACTTATCTAAGGAGCATTGTCTCAACTACAGGAGGAACGGACGAGCATGTCAAATCGAGAATCAGGAAGGCGAGAAACACATTCATCAACCTGAAACCAATCTGGAAATCTTCCGCTGTCACTCAGCATCCACAACAAAATTCGGATTTTCAATACAAACCTCAAGTCAGTCAGTTCTTCTATACGGATCAGAAACTTGGCGGCGGGTCACAAAGAATATTTCCAACAGCTTGCAGATCTTCATCAACAACTGTCTTCGTTCTATACTGAAGATCAGATGGCCGGCCGGAAAGAATCACCAACAAGAAACTATGGGAGCAAACAAAACAAGAACCAATCGCCCAACAAATATGCAGGAGAAAGTGGAGATGGATTGGACACTCATTGAGGAGGCCGTTGTGTGACATCGTGCGTCAGGCCGTCGAGTGGAACCGGAAAGGTAAGCGGCGAGTGGGACATTCAAGTGTGACATGGAGGAGATCGTGTGAAGAGGATTTGAAACAGTATGGAATAACATGGATGCAGGTGAAAAGTACAGCAGAAGACAGAAGCAAGTGGAGACGTGCAGTTGAAGCCCTATGTTCCACTAAGAACCCAAGAGAACAACAATAATAATAATTATAGCCAAACTAATAAAGTTTTCACACAATTTGCTTTAATTACTCCTTTCGATGATCTATTCTCTAACTTAGCGAGGAAAAAATCAGCTAGGACTGGACCTAATGGGGAACCTATAGCTACAACATCAGTTTGTCTATAATATTCTTCTTCTTAAAATAAGTTCCTTCAAGGAGGATACAGAAATGCTTTGTGAAATTTCTTGAGACCAAAATGTTTGGCCTCCTTTTGAGAACGCATCGACGATATCTGACGATTCAACTTGAAGTGGTCTTGGTGGATGGTGACTATATAGCAGTGTAATACAGGGTGTGAATTTCACTCTGTTTGGGACTCATCAGCTGGATGGATGTACCTCCATTCCCCAGGGAATGATGTTGGCGTCCCCCCCCAATGAGGCTCGAACCCAGTACCCGTCGTTTCGAAAGCCAATGCGTTATCCACTAGACCACTCCTATATCGGTTGCCAACTCAGTGACTACAATCTGACATTATACCTGGGATTTTAAAAACAAAATCCTATTTAGCTCATTCTTCAACTCACTTACCTACCTCACTTGCCTACCTACTGATTCACACATCATTTATTACCAACAGTCGACTTTCAGTCAACATATTCCGGATGCAAAACTCCCTCCAAACCCATCTTCAACCTTATCCCTAACAGAATAAGTGAGGCATGAAAACATCTTTCGATGTGGCTGACTTCCAACGACAAGAGCACAGACACAGACACACAGAGGGAGATCTGTACGGGGTCATCATAATCTCTCTGATTGTAGTGAATAGTTTCCAGACGCATCATTATTAAAAACATTTACTTTATAAATGGGATTAAATGAAATTAAAATAAATGGAATAATTATTATGATTTACAATGTCAAATAAGCATGCTTTGTTTGAGATGAACAATTTTTAAAGGTCAAATGAAAAGAGTAGACTGTCGTTCAGGTAAAATTGCATATAACGTAAGAAAAGCTAATCAGAGAATACTTAGTTAGAATGGATGAGAGTTAAGCAAACATCATCCTCTTGTCATTATTATTATTATTATTATTATTATTATTATTATTATTATTACTGTTTTTATAGACATACATACACCCACCGACAGGAAATAAAAACAGGTACCATCACCATGTATACACTCGCACATACATACAAACATATTGTAACTATGAGAGATACAAAGTAAAGTGTAATGATGGGATAGGGATAGGGTAGTGTAAGGTGGAGGTGAGGAGGAGGACGAGGAGAAGGGGCAGATGAGGACAAAAAAAGGGGAACACTTTTTATCGGAAACATACTTGGGTATGAATGCTGGAGATGGTTGTGGACTAGTGAGGATAATGATAACAGCAATAATAGTAATAATAATTAACACAAAGTAAACAACTATTAAAAATAATCTTTACAATATTTAAAAAAAAATACTTTTGAAGAAAACTTTTTCTTATCTCTGAGAGTTATGAATTAGTTTATGAACTCAATTAAATAAAACCAAATACTTTCAAGAGATAATTTGTGGGGATTTGATTTTTGTCTCAACTGATGAAGAGTCCCAAACCAGGACGAAACAACTATTCAGTACTCCCTGTGGCTTGTTTCCCTATGGTTCTCTAACCAATGTCAGCTCATGATGAAATCCTGTAACCAATCAATCAAAATCCCTACAAACCAATACTTGAAGATGGATATCAGTTGCAGAATTATTGAAAACGTGAAGGGAGTACTGACAGACAGCTGTTTCGTCGATGATGCTGACTGTTGTCACCTAGGGTGCTAAAATCACGAAGCTAGAACTCATGCATTGGGCATTGGATTGGGTCCCACAGTGGCGGAGGGCGTGAGCTGCCAATGAAACTAGAATGAAACGTCTGGCTGTCCAGTACTCCACCCTGGTTTTCAATGGTTCTCTCACTGATATCGATCTGTGGGAGAACTTGAAAGAGACCAAGAGTCACTTTGTATGAGGATGTACACTATCGGAAATCAAACTTGCTGAGGTTTCGTTTCAGTACTCTTGTATAGGTAGAAGGGAGGCGGTCAATTACGTAGCTGAATTTCCTCAGATAGTTAACTGGCTTTGCACTACGAGCCTAGATGAGTGCTGTATTCATGTCAAATGTTACGTCTAACTGTTTAAAAGGTGTTTTATCAAATATTCAACAGAGTGGTCTTATTATTATCATCATCACAAGGAATCTAAACTGTCGCTGAGTATTACACTTCGGTCAGTAGAGCCTAAAGTCGACAGTCAGGGGCTGATAGGTGAAATTCTCTTCTTAAAGAACCATTGAAAACTAACACGAAGTACTGCATAGATGTTTCGTCCAACTAGTTTTGGCCAGCTTCATCAGTACTGTTCATCTACCACTGAGGTTCGAAACTAGGATCTTCCAACTACAAGGTGGGTTCATAGATCATCCAACCACCAATGGGAATCGACTCTTCAATGTCCAGCCCATGAATTCTAACTCCTACCGGTTGGTAACTTTGGCGCAACCAAAAATTACTGCCCTCTAGTAATAAACCTAGTCTGTTACATCAGAATTATCTAGTAATATCTCAATAAATAAATTCTACTCAGCAAGTGATAAAAGTGCAAATATATTAAAATCAGTTGTGCGAACCAGGCTCAAATTTCAAAACTTGTAAACTTAACCAATGCGTCTTCTTGGAAAAAACTTAAGGTCTCTTATAAATCAATATTGTAAATGGAAGACAGATTCTAGTGAGAAGCCGTAACCAGTAGGGTGCAGCAGGTCGGGTGTGTGAAGACAAATACTCGCCGAAGACATTGGCTAGTGGTCGCTCTATGTCGTGAATTGGCAGAAGTTAGAATTCATGCGTTGGCCATGGGATCGGGTCCCAGTGGCTTAATGGTCTTCGAGCTAGTTCTCCTTATAACCAGAAGGTCCTGGGTTCGAACTCCAGTGGGGTGGGTGCGTGCTGATGAAGAGTCCCAAACTAGAACTGGGGGAAACAGCTGTCCAGTACTACCTGTGGCTGGTTTTCCAATGCTTCTCTAACCAATGTCAGCTCATGATGAAATCCTGTAACCAATCAATCAAATCCCTACAAACCAACACTTGAAGATTCAAAGTGGACTGGAATTTCTTCCAACCTGGATTTACATTGCTGAATGAAATCCATATTTAAGAATTCTGAACAGTTAGGTTAGGGATTTTTACCACGGTGACGAACAAATCAGTACTGAGTTTAATTAGGAGGTGCCTTCTGGGAGATAGCTTCACAAAATAATTGAGTTTTCAATTCAACTCTGACATCAGGAACTGTGTAGCTGGTGAATGAAATAAAAATCTGGGAGGTAAACCTGCTCCATAAGGAGTGAGATAATCGAACAGGGTTTGTCGAAACACTGGTCATTCCATCTCAATAAACGCCTGCTCCTCCTGCTCCTCCTTCAAAGTAATCTCTACACAAAGTGAAGAATAATCTGCCAAAAAGCAGTACACTTTCGTCTTCTCTACACTGCTGAAGCTGTTCAGATTGAGAAACCAGAATTATACATACAAAAAGAAAGTTATTCAATCACTTCTACCATCTTGCTGACAAATTTGTTGATTTCTACTAACTTGACTTTTGTTTTTCTAACTCCTTGTAACTCTTACGTATTTCCATATTTCCCTTCGTTCCTATATGCGTAACGTGAATACAACTCATTCATTAAATTATTCATCTTATTACGTAACTACTCTAATACACCTATTCAACTCCTTTTATGCATTGACTAATATTGACAACTATGATTGTGACAACTCATCACTTTTATCACTTGATGTTGTTTCATGAGAAAGAGACTGTTAACAAAATGTGATTGTGCAGCTAGCTGTGTAGGAGAATGAATTCGCTGCGGAAAGAGCCTCTACATGTTTTGTTGTAGTCGTTGTCGTCTGAATGGAGGTTATTCATGAAATGGGACCTGTTTCAGTCAGACAGTGTATTTTTTTTCAGATTACTTATTATCACAAGAAGCAGTCGAACTTTTGCAGAATTTTGATAACGATTGTTAAACTAAATGCATGGTTGGAGGACTAGTTGCAGTCTTATACGTCAAATTAAATAATGCCATTATGGAGGAACTTTAAGAGAAAGTGGGAATGTTACTGATCCGATTATATAGTCAGTGATGATAATAAGTTCAACTCATGACAGATAATTAGGTGTACTCGTGGAGAAGAGCACTGGCTTATTAATTATCAGACAGATGTCCAAACCACTCAATCTACAGCCTAGTACAAGTTGACCAATAAGATATTAACTGTAAATTATTGATTTTAAGAGCTAGTTTGTAAGAATTTGATTTGTTTCAGTTTTGACTGCAAACTGATACCTGGTGCCCGCTAGTGACCGGCTACAGGGGCAAGGTTGACTGTTGTGACCTCTAGTGAGAAGTCGTGACCATCTGGGAACAAATACCCATCACCGATGACATTCACAGGTATCAGTCGCGCTAAAATCACAAATTGGTAGAAGTTAGAATTCATGTACTGGCCACAGAGAAGCCGTTTCGCAAGAGGTGAATGGTATACGTGATATTTTTGAAACCCGAAGGCTCTGGGTTCGAAACCTGGCGTTGGGCACCTACCACCGAAGAGTCTCAAACTAGGAATGAGCAAAACGGCTGCGCAGTACTCCCTATTAGTTTTCAACGGTTCTCCAAATGAAATCAGGCCGAGGTCAAACTTGAAATAAAAATTATGTATAAAGAATTTCAACACCGTATAGTCACTAATTGTCCCTCCAATTAGACTTTCTGTTTATTTAAAACGTAACATTCAAATGAAACTGCTTTCGATCAATGTCCAATGCATTTCTATGGTTATCAATATCAATTGTTATATTTAATTTTCTATAGTTGGTTTGTAAGGATTAGTTTTGTTTTTCCAGTTGAACGCGGATTTATATCATTTAGAGAACCACTGAAAACCATCAGCTGGGATTACTGGACAGCTGTTTCCTGCATCCTAGTTTGGGAATCATCTGAAGTACGCACCCCTTGCCAGGGTTCGAACCCAGAACCTGCCAGTTACAAGGCAAGCTAACTTGTATACCATTCAGCCACCACTAGGACCCCAACTCCTCAATGGTTAGCCAGCCTATGAATTCTAACTTCTACCAATTCTTGATGCATTTAGTGCGACCACCAACCAATGTCGTCGGTGGGACATCCATCTTCATACTTGACTGGTTGGAGGACCTCACTGGTCACGACTTCTGACGAATAATATTTAAACTTCATTTTCAAACAACATTTGCAATTAATAGTGTTCTCTGAGCTGGTTGGTTTAGTTGCGGAGCTTTCGTCACAATTATATCACTCATGAAAAATTTAAATCATTTCACTTTATGCTAAATAGTGCGCTGAAGATGTTGTCCAGAAGGACGACCAAAGCTCCGCAACTAAACCAACCGGCCCAGAGAAGACCATTAATTGCAATCATCCACCTGAGCTACAAATCTTCTCTATTATTTCAAATACCATTTCTTAAAATAATTCAAGTCTAGATGATTGCTTCCAAACGGTTTGGAACACGGTTTTACAACAACAACAAAAGTCTTAATTTCTATGTACGTGAAAATGTTTTCTTGACCCATAAGTGGTAGAAAAATGTTTCAGAGAATGACCTTGACTCTGTTTTAACAAGAATCTTTTCTTTTTCCAAAGAAAAATAATAAACAACCAACTAACCTTTGTTCGTCGTCTGACATCCTGTAACTTTATAACTGAATTTGAATTGAAAGTATCAATCGAAAAACCTCTTCGCAGCGAAGATTCTGTGAAAAAACGAAACAAAAGAAAAGGATTAGACATAATTAAAAATGAGGTACATTGATGTCTGCAGAAAATAAACCTTCTCGGCCGATTTTCATTCTCAAAAACTGGTTATAAATTCGTAGCCAATAAAAAATGGCGAAGAAGTACATCAACTTTCTAAAATTCTGTAGATCTTCTTGTAGTGAAGTGAAATTCTAAATCTTGTAAAGTTTATATTACAAATTATTCGAAGAAGTATTAGTGTCTAGTTACAACAAAATCTGAAGCTTTTATCAAGCTGACTTTCCCGGTACCGTGTGCTTATCCACCTAAACCGTTAGTACTCTTCAATGAATTTCAGGCTGTATAGATTTTACCAATTTTCACAACAGCAACAAAAAATGCCCATCATACTAAGTGGTTGGAAGTAGAAGTGCCCTGTATACAATGTTGAAAGTTTGACGATATTCGTGAAGAACTCATGCGCTTTTATTTCTATCTCTGTATTTCATTTCTCGAAAGTACAGTTCAATAATGGCGAACATCTCCTATAATCTGAAGGTAATGAACCTAATTTTAACAAATGAATTGAATTAATAAAAGTTAGATGCTATTTGGAGCTGAAAGTTTAGATAATAAATAGCCCGACGTTCAAACAGGCCGCCACCACTACTATTTTATTCGACAGACACTTGAGCAGCTCATGTGACAGAAATGGTGGAAACTCTTCTGGCACCCCACCTCATCCCACCACTGCATCTTATCTTATAGTATTGGTATTAGTATTATTAGTATTGTCATTTTACAATTCCAATTACCTATACCAAGTAATATATATATATATCTTTTTTGTTTTAATGGTTGTCAAGGCGGCGGGCTGTTTAAATCATTGGGCTACCAGAATTTTCATTCATTAAAATGCTTAAACTCTTCTGTACTTCTTATTGTTTAAATCGTCTAATTATATCAAATGATCAATACATGAACTGGCGCGCATATTTAATTGGTTTCCCACTAAATGCTATGAAATTCTTGAAGGAATTGAAGTGAAAAAAAATTACAGAATTGGTTTTCTCTCTTCATATGGTTAACAACAAACACTACGACAAATGATGTACTTCGGATGTACTTGTTTTACATATACATTTTGGAGCTAGCTACGCTGAAAATTTCTGTACTATATATTCACATATTGTCTGAAATAAAACCTTACTATTATTAAATTAGATGCAATATTGTACCAAAATGCTGAGATTTCCACACTGTACAATAAGTACGCTTTGCAAAATTATTCATTTCAGCCTGTTCGAGAAAATTGTAGAGAGTGCATAGATGACAAACAAATATTCAAAAGAGATCATCCAAAGAAACTGTCAAAATTGTCGCGATCTAACAGGATCCAAACATGAGTTTTACAAAAAAATAACCTTTCAAAGGGATTATGAGACCCCCCAGTTGCACGCACATGTAACTGGATGAGCAACAGACCTTCTACTACCCTTCCAACTGACCACCTATCCCTTTAGAAAAAAAACCTTCAGCGTAAATCAAATAGGTAACACGGTGAAATGCCTATCCGTCATCTCATCCATCATTCATAATCAATCAAAAATCATAATCAATTCAAAAATCTAAGGCATGATAGCTATATATGTCATAGCGCTACTTAAAATCAAAGCTATTAAGATTCAATCTGATTCCTGAATATATCTTCCAGTCTTCAGAAGTCTACTAAAAACATTGGGGAATACATTTTTGCCTTAAGCCATATTTGAAATAACAGTAATGATAATAAGAATAAGAATAATAAGAAAACTGTATACATTAACACTTACCTACCTTGTTTGTGCCTTGTGCAAATCTACTGAAATGTGAAATGATATTTACAACTGTAATAAAAACACACACTAGACGACAGTAGTTGGTGGTTGTTGGTGGTGCTAATTTTCTATTTCTCTACTTGATGATTGCAGAATTAACTCCCTTAGCGTTTTTACAAAGACATGTACAAATAACCAATTAATTTTTAAAGCCCTTTTTACACCCACACACAACAGTAAGAAGTACATTCCTAACTAACTATCTATCTATCTACCTATCTCTATCTATCCTGCTATTTATCAAGAAACATTTTACCCAATACATCGCCTTACATCTTCTTACGTAAAAATGTGTTGATACAGAATTCTGAATCGATCGAAATTTACTATATATAATCCCCAAATGTATATATATATTTAACCTACAATCAAATCTCCCAATTTTTCATGTTCCCCATACTATCCTACCTTTTGTATGTGCTAATCAATATTGATGTTTACGTGCACACACACATACACACACACTGGAATATCACTTCCCGCTGCCAACCATCTATCCCAGAAATCCCAGAAAATTTTCAAATATCTCTTTCTCTCTCTCTGGTGAACGCTAATGTATCCTGCCTACAACGGTTACACAAAAACAGTGTATGTTAAGGTGGCAATTGATAGAATATTTATTTATTGATTGATTCATTTTTTATTGATTACTTGACTGTGCGCACAAATGACCTAAGAGAATGTGGGAGAAAGATAGAAGAGTGAGAGAGCGAGAGATGGAGAGAGATAGTGAAAGACTGTGGATATGAAAATGAAAATAACCTAACCTATATAACATTGTGTGTATGAAAGTCAATCACGCATGCATGCATGGCGCAGAATGAGAGTGAGAGAGCGTGTGTGTGTGTGTGTTGACGTATGTTGTTGTTGTTGACGTATGTCTTACGGATTACACTAGTAGAGTTGGCTCTTATCTTTTTTGTAAAAAAAATGTAATAATTGAATCAGACGGAGATTAGAGCTTTAATATTCGTGTTTTTGTGAAACAATATATGTCCACTTTAAATGTAAGTAATAATAATAATAACAATAATAATCACTATCGTGGTTGCTGTAGGTATCCCTAAGCTATGATAATGTAAGAATCCTAATGTACATCTATTGTAGACCGTGCATCGCCTTTCAATAAATTATTATTATCATTATTGTTTCCTTTAATTCCTAGAGGGACATAGGGCTTCAGCCGTGCGTCTACATCGCGTTCGGTTCTCTGCTAGAGTTTTCACCTGGCTCCATGTCTGCCCACACGTTTTCATCTCCTCTTCACATGACCTCCTTCAAGTCACCCTTGCACTGACGACCAACTCGCCGCTTCCCTTTCGGCCAGGTTCCACTCGAGCAATGGCTTGTCTAGTGATGTCACTTGATGGTTTCCTCAGAGTATGGCCAATCCACCAACTGCATTTCTTCCTGCCTATTTCTTTCACAATCGGTTACTGGTTAGTTCGCTCCCACTTTCATAGAACGTAGAAGAATTGCAGGTCACGTGAGTGATACTGATTTTATTATGTTCTCTGAGCTGAGCTAGTCGACTTCCTTTCCTGTCCACGTCAAGATAAGTATTAAGTCGTATCATACTGGAGAGGCTGACAGGTGCTCAGGATGGAAAATTGAACCTGCAACAGCCTGTTTTCAGAAAAAAACAACAAAAACAAATCGTGTGCGAATCAAATTGTAAAACTACTTATCACCATCTAACACGGTCTAAACTAGCAGTCAAGTCTTTACCTCAACTTCATCGAATTTGAAAGGACTGTCTACACAGTCAGCCGTGAAGTAATCCAGCAACCGCTTCAACACTGTGAGGCCAGTTATAAGTAGACTGCACAGAACTGAGCAAGATGGCGGTGTGCTGCTGAACATCCTTTGTTTCGCTATGGAGCTTCCTCCAAGGAGGAGAAAGAGAGCTATGTTCATTACCCTATAACCTGAGAATTGTATATTACCACCAGGTACCTCAGGTTTCATGAATCACATCACTATTCATTCAGTCGGAATGCCTTTTGAGGTGAAGCAACCATTAACATCCTTAGGTGAACGTCAAATATTATCTGATAACGTAATATTCATGTGTGCAATGCTCTCTAATGTATATACTACTGTTGTCCCATCTTCTGTTCTTTCATCTTATTCCCCTACATTTTGATCCATGAACACTATCATAATAATGGTTTGTAGTAGAAACCACACTGAACACTTAGTAGTATTCAAAGGTTTCGACTGGATATACAATCCTACTTATCGATGTTTGAGATTAAGTCTCAACATTTTTATTTGCGGTTATGCTGGATTGTATGCATTAATAACTTGGTTTACCGAAATTCTCATCCATATATCCCTATTTCAATTCAAAACGTGTATCTTGTGAAATTCACCTCATTCCTAAATCACTCCTTCATCGAAATTGTTGAAACTGATATTTACAATAGGAAAGTGGTTAGTATCATTGAACAACACTGTCTCCTTTCAAACAGTATGTGAAATGTTTTATTCTCAGCTCGTATAAATAAAAAAACTGGCCTTTATCTGATGGGATTCTAAAGTTAAGACACATAACTAATCATCAATAAAGTGGCTTTCGATTTGATTGTGTGTTGTGTGAGCTGAGTTGAGTGATTTAATTGTGAAGCTTTCGCTGTCCTCCTTCTAGACAACATCTTCACAGAAGGCTTCAATATAAAGTCAACTTGTTCGAATTCTCCATCAATGATGATGTAATTGTATCTCCTAAGAAGCATTCTTGTGGTTGACTGTTAATTTACATCGATCATCTTTATTGATTTTGTTGTTATTGTGATTTGCTTTTTATTGGTTGGTAGATTTGATCTATACAGAGTATTGTAATGTGTGTTTGTTAATCTGTCAGTGATTCCTGTGAGTACCAGGCTTCTAGAAATTACCTGGTATTACTTTTGGTGTTTCTTCTTTTTGAAATAATAATACGAGTGCTACTGATCAATTACAACCAGGTGGGAAATAAGACGAGTGTTTTTATAATCATAATAAGTAACTTGTCAGAATGTTGTGATTTGCTTGAATTGAAATAGAATTTTAAGATTATTTATTATCTTCTTCTGATTTGACCGGCGGTAATAATATCTTCCATGCATATCTCTGGTATTTGCATTGAGTCATTTCTGTTGCATGTGTTGGATGTAGACTCGATGAACCAGGCAGGATTCAGTAATCAATCTCTCTCTCCACCTACATAGATTACTTCTTAGAATGTTAATCCTCTCCCACCAACTATATTAAGTTGTTGTGTGTCTAATGCATGCAGTGCGATAGCTGAGCTGATTTCTAAATTACTCATCTTCTCGAGGTCAACCATTCTTACCTTAGTAATATTCTTATGTTCCGACAATCTCACTATCCCCGATCTACTAGTTTGATCTATGTAGTTGACTTAACTCACAGTCACTACAGGGTATTTTGTAAATTATATTACTTTGTTTAATTGAGTCAACCTACAGAGCTTGTCTTACCTGAGTGAGTTTGTATGCTTGAATGCCACTCTAATTCCTGCCTTATTGAGAATCCTACTTAGGGTCTCAGATGTCCCCTCCTTATATGGTATTACAGTAGATGCCTTATATTTTCTTTCTTATTTATGTTATCATTACTAGTTTCACCCAACACATGCAACAGAAATGACTCAATGCAAATACTAGAGATGTGCATGGAAGATATTATTACCGCCAGTCAGTCAAATCAGAAGAGGATAATAAATAATCTCAAAATTCTATTTCATTTCAAGTACATTATAACATTTTAACGAGTTACTTATTGATTTTGACTATAAAAACACTCGTCTTATTTCCCATCTGATTGTAATTGATCAAAAACACTCATATTGTTATTTCTGAATGTATACTATCTCATATTGATTTTTATTTAAATCATGGAAAATTCCCATTGTAACATATAGAAAATCAAAACAAATGATTCAGCGAAGAGACTCTTTTCAACGAATTTATCATCAAGCTGTACAATTGTATATATATATATATATATATATGCATGGTTTTGAAGAAGTTATATCCGGTGAGGGAATTGAAACATAGGTGTGAATGCATAAAATAATAATATTGATAATATGAAATGCAATTAAAACCAAAATGTTTGTGATTATAATCGCAGTTAAATGTCAAGTGGCAAAGCAAATTAATGTCATATATATAGAATAATTCATAGAATGGATAGAACTTGGAAAGGGTGTGTGATTATAGGATTAGTAGACAAATCGAATAAAATAAAATAAAAACGTTACGTAATATTGTGTGAAATTTAATAGCATAGAATTCAATAACCTGAAGGACAAGATCCCGCTGTCAACCAACTCTATGTGTGTTTATCAATTCACCTGCTCGTGTGGAGCTACGTATATCGGTCGTCCGACTCGAGTTTTGTCCAAGAGGTTGCAAGAACACTATCCTGCATGGTTGTTACGAAGAGGTGGAAGTAGAGCAATAAGAAGCGTGATCATTGAACATCTGGTTGATAATGATCACCCTATCTCTATAGCCTCCGCCTTTGAAGTCATCTACAAGGCAAAGAGTAATTTACCCAAATCCCTACGCACCCGACTCATCTGTATTGCTGAAGCTTTGGCTATCGAAAGAGAAAAGCCAGATCTTTTTGTAACAAAAATGTTCGTTCAACCCCTCCAACTTTCATGGTCTTAATCCCTCTACTATGCTAAAGTATGGTAATCCCCAATCATATTTTAGTTCTACCAATTTTTCATTTTGTCTATTCAATTTGTATACTCTTCCTTATTACGTCAATTGTTACTATTACTACTCTCACTTTTAACTGTCCCCGATATTATTTCACTTGTTCCACTTCTCATTCTAAATCAATTATGTTTTGCCAAGTTAAATTCTATGTTGGCAAATTTCGCACAATGTTACGTAACGTTTTTATTTTATTCGATTTGTCTACTAATCCTATAATTGCACACCCTTTTCACGTTCTATCCATTCTATGAATTATTCTATATATATGACATTAATTTGCTTTGCCACTTGACATTTAACTACGACTATAATCACAAACATTTTAGTTTTAATTGCATTTCATATTATTATTATTATTATATGCATTCACACCTATGATTTAATTCCTTCACCGGATATAACTTCTTAAAAACCACATATATA